GACACCAACCTCGCTTCCTGTAGAGTCTCGTTCACAATTTTGATCTCATCGATCTCCTCTAACATAAGATCGATGCTGTGTGCAACACACGAGTCCATACTAGATGCTTCCTCTTATCCATTAACTTGCTTCCTGCAAAAATACATGCACGTGTATTGTCCGTAATAAATTGGAGTACATGCTTATCTCCCACCTCCTCAACTATTTGATCATATAGTCGTACGTAAAAGTTTGCATCCTTCTTCCCTGATACGTCTTTGCTAAACAAAAAAACTGTACCTTTTGGGGAATAGGCCAAGAAGTTTACAAATTCTTTTTTGCTAACTTTATTCAACCAACCATCACTCATGAGAGTAATGCCTATTCTTGGCCAACTCTGTTTATATTTTTCAATCCACTTTTTAACTTCCTCTACCTCTTCGTCTAATATTGGCCCACTGAGCTCATATCCCGTCAGGGGTTTTACCCTGGGCCCAGCTCTCTGGATTGCGTTGACCATAGGTGGAAAATATGGGCTATTGGCTGCATCAAAGGGGATCCCTTTATCGTAGAACCATTTACCAACATATCTGCTCAACATGTTTCTCGTACCTTTCACCATGCCTTTGAGGGTCATATGTTCTGACTTAGGTTTTGAGAGAAATGGGTCTATACGACCATGACCTGCAATACTGACACTCTTAGATAAGCTAGAAACAATTTTTTGCAACGTCTGATTCTTCTTGATACATATTGCCACCAACCCTTCCATACATATTTGAGTTGGGCCCGTTATACATGCTCGAGCTGGGCCCGCCATGCATGTCTGAGCTGAGCCCACCATGCATGCCCATGCATAACCACCAGGCATTCTAAACCCGAGTTTCCTCTGGTATGTTTCTTGTAAACTCATTCTTGTGGCCATCTCCAAGTCATTATATTGCTCTTCTGGATCATTCCCGCTTGATGGCGTATATAAGCTAGCTATCTCCTCATCCATCCTTTGCTTTGTAATTTTTTAACCTTTGGTAGCCTTGAGAAATGGCGCCACCTGCTTTCTTACATTATTAGGGACACTATTGTACGCAGAAGCATCTCCCTGCCAAGTGTTGCTTGAACCTATGTACCCCACTACTTA